CCCCCAAATGCTCCACTGGATCAGCTCTGCACTCAAAGACTGTGAGCATTTTCTGAAAAGAAACTCAGACAAACTATATTGGTTATGGTTGTAAATCCGTTGAAATCAGTTTTTTATCTCCCGTCTTCAATATCACGAGAGTATAGCACATCAATTGTAACCCGTATACAGAATGTCCTTTTCATCAAGTGCATATTTTCCACATGGCTGTTTCCTCTCGTTTGAGTCAGACACCATGTGCTGCAGACACAAATTGACGCTGAGGTTAACACAACAGAAGAGAAAGGGCAACAGAGCAATACGCCTGTTTAATTGTAGAGAGCTGCTTCAAGAATAGTGTACCGTACTCTCAATGTGTGTAGCTACTATGTCTCTGTGCATGTTTTTGTGCATATTTGCGTGAATTCATATATTTTGCTTCTTTGGAGTAGAAATGGCTATGGTATGCTAAATAGCTCTTTGAAAGAATAATGAAAAGCCTGAAGGAGTGAATGATTGACTGCTCTGTTGATGAGCTCCTTAAACACAACAGTGTGGAGCATTAAGTATCATATTCACACTTTTATACAGCACACACCCCACTTTACTACACACATACAGAGCAGAAGGCATTATGGGAATCATACTCGGTCTCGCTTTCTCTTTCCTTCTTCAAATGTTCTGAAAAGAAGAACAACAATTAAAATAGCTAAGGATAAATATTGAACAGAGTGAGTTCAGTTAAAGTAACTTTGGAAGACATTATTGTTAGTGTTTTTCTATGTGGTTGTGAGAGCGTTTTCCTACCTGGATTAGTCCAAGAGATAATAGCAAATGCCACACGTTTGTAGCCATGTCTGAATCTGACCGCCATTCTTTTTTCTTGTGTCTCTTTTCTTTATTGATTCTTGAAAAAACCCTTATCTAGTCAAGTGGCAATGTCACTAAAATATTGAAACGTAAGTGGACAGGCACACTCGCTATGTCCCTATACCTTAGGCCAGGGGTACTCAAATACAAATCTTAAAGGTCCAAAAAAAATGTTTCAATAAGACAAAGGTCCGTTTATTACGGTCATTCAAACTTTTAAACAATTGCAACAAGATTCTTAACACGAGGTTGCAAAAACAAAAATAATCTGTATGCAGCAGTTTTCATTGTTATTGTGTCTGTGCTTGATCCCTCAGAGTCGCAGTGTAAGAGCTGCACAGTTATGAATAAAGGCAGCTGCACCCTCTTTCATTCAGCATTCCCATTATTGCTTTATAAATGTCTTGCCCCCTTGTGTGTCCACTGAGGTTCGTCAGGCCCAACACATCTTCAACAAACTCCCCCTTTGCCTCATCATAAAAACTCACAAACACCAGCAACTGAGCATTGTCAGTGGTGTCAGTGGACTCATCCACAGCTAAGGAAATGCACTGTGCATTTTTTATTCCATCACAAAGCTGATTAATCAAATCACCAGCCAGTATTTATGTTCTTCTGGTTGCTGTGGAATCTGAGAGGGGGATTTGCTTGATTTGACCTGTTATTTCCTCTTTTTGTTTGCCTTCAAACATGGTCTCCATCACTTCAGTCATGCATTATTTTATACTTCAGTTATTATCCAGTGGAATGTCCTTACCTACTGGCCTAGTTAAATCAAAGTGGTTACTTTTTTTTGGCTGGGCAGTGTAGTTTTACACACCGTCTTATTTGACTTTCTCAGGACTTAAAACTGTTTTTTGGGGGCAGACCCCCACAAAGAAAAAAATATATTTACACACGTAAGGTCATCATCTTAACAGTTTTGTATGCTCATCCGTGAGCAGAGCATCAAGTTGACATGTCTATTACAGCTGAATGCAGCGATTACCATTTTGTTCAGCAAAACGCCTCACAAACTTATTAAGATCAACAGCTTTAGTGCGTTTTGATTCAATGCTGAGTACAGCCAAACTTGACAGTCTCTTCTCTGCCATTGTAGACCGCAAATACCTCATTCCTTCAGTACTTGGGTCCGAATGCTTCTCGTTTTGCGCCGTCCCGTTCAAATGAAATCTCCGCCAATCATATTTCCACGCTCGCGCCAGGGACGGGGGAGGGGTTACAAGACGTGCATCTTGTGCTGCATTCACTTGCACTCGGACATTAGAGACTTTCTCTCATAAATGTCAGATGAGCCACAACTTTTCTTTCAAAACAAAGCTGCCAACTGGGGTGGCAGCTGGGGTGGCAATGCCTATTTTTAGGGTGGCAGTTGCCACCCCATGCCACCCCGGTAGGTGAAACTAGGCTACTAGCTACAGTACAGATGCAACTAGATGAGCTGTTAACTCTCGCTCTGACTTTTTTTTTTTTAAACTCTCGCTCTGACTCAGACAGGTTGAAAGAGACGACACGACACCACACGCATTTTTCCCACCCGCATTCCGCGAAGACCCGCCCTACTGTGCCTCTGATTCGCAGACTGTTGGAGGGGGGAAAAAACGCTGACGGGAATGTGATTGGACCAAAGCGTTGACAGACACACACAGACAGTGGAACAGTCTGACATGCAGAGCGCTGTATGCAGTAGAGATGGCAAATCCGGATCCTTTTACGGACTCAGGGTCTTCTGAGTCAGTCATTGAAGAGATCCGGATCATACGAGTCATTTGAGTCATATGAGTCAGCAATCACCAAGACCGTAGAAATCCTATCGGTGAAACCGAAAAGTTGATGCATTTCACGAGCATATTATTATTCCATATATTTTGAATATATATATATATATTTGTATATATATATATATAATATCTGCATGTATATTTTCTATTTCGACATGTATATTTTATATTTTATTTTATTTTTCTTTCTATTCTTGTATATTTTGTAGTTTTGTTTTATTGTAAAATGCCTTTTATGCTGCTGTAACAACAATTTCCCGATTTGGGATCAATAAAGTACTATCTATCTATCTATCTATTAAACTGACGTTATATTAACCTCCGCTACACAGTGTATTTTGCTTTAATAAAAAATGTTGATCACAAAAAAAAGGGTTATTTTGCGATTTGGCAAATCTGAGTCTGCTGTTGACTCGTGCATGAGGACGAGTCTGCTGGATCTCTGGATCTGCTGCTATATGGTTACGGCTCCGAGTCCGCACGAGTCTGATCCGCTGTGTGTTGCAGCGAGTCAGGATTTGCGAGTCTGCTGTTGATAGCGCGGGAGCCGGGTGCTGGAGGAGGGGCTATGCTCGTGCACATGACGAGTATGGATCTCTGGATCTGCTATGCTATTACGGTTAGGAGCCGTCGGCTCCTCTGAGTCCCCACGAGTCTGCAGGAAGTTTCACTGATCCGCATCCCCTCCCCTGAGCCAAACGATCACTTCTGGCAGGCAGCTATCCTGTATACTTGCTAAAGGGTAGGTAGATGGACTGGGGTACGTTGTAATGTGATTTTACATGTTATAAAGAGAGTAGCGAGTGACGCAATTTATAGTTTTAATTTGTACGTAACACCAAGTGTGGGACTCAAGGACTCGGGTTAATGGAGAGGGGAGACTCGTCACGACCAGCTCATTTCTAGGATCCGGGTTAATGATCCGGATGAATCAGGACTCGCCCATCTCTAGTATGCAGTGGACATAGCGGATAATTTTGACTCGTTGCGTTGTGGCGATGTCTCGCAGATAACACAGATAATACAGATAATACATATGAAAAGTATAATTTGCTCAGAGTCCAGAGACAGTTGTGGTTCGGTCCGGATTCGGACCGGAGTCCGGACTTTGAGGATGCCTGCCTTAGGCCATTAACAAGCTTTGAGTTGTAATGTCTGATCGAGTTGAAGTTTAAGGTGAACAGGCCGCCCACTTCCTTCCTGTCTGTTCAATGATAAAAGTCGCAGAGCACAGTGAAAATGTGTTCCCCCTGTGAATCGATGCTAATCACATCATCGTGCTCCCGCCCCCTCCCCCCTCATTCCTCTCTCTGGGGTTTAACACTCCTCTCTCTAGCTTTTTCCTCCTCACCCGCTGTTTCTCTTCTCTCCCCTCCTCGCTCCTGTCTCCCTTCATCATATTGGAGGTGAAGTTATGTGAGGCTTCTTGCACGCGAGCCAGCCCTCCTCATGTGCAGCTCAGATACTGTTGTCGCAACTCAGAGATGTGCCATCATGCATTTGTAATCCATTATTTCTGCGGTTACAGTCAAAGCCTTTTGGAAAAAAAACTAGTAAGGAGCTACAGGCAATTTGTTGATATAATTTCAATTGAAAGATTTGGCCTGGGATTTCGGTTATGAATATATTTAAATATTGTCATGAAGCTCTACCTGAGTCGAATAAACAATAATTTGTTTTTGCTATTCAATTTATGTTACTGACATATACATGTTGCCCTTACTGACTGTTGCTCACATCCTAGATCACTAATTAGTCAATCAGAGCATGACATCATGTCGTATACAGTGGCATTTTAGCATAAAGCTTTTACAATTTTTTCTTTTACCATAGACTCACTTGGAAATTAAAATATCATGTTGCACTTTTTTCCCTGGCCCCACCAAATGACTGGCCTCAAAACTGATATTGCACAGTTTGACACAACTATTCAAATTACAACCAGGACTTCATTAAACCAATATTTCTTCTGTGAATTTAACTTCTAAGATCAGTCTTGTATCAAACACCATGTAAGAAAAAAGGACTCTTCCAGAGAGAAGAATCAGCTTTTGACCTTCTAATGGAGACCAAAGTCAAAATTAATGAATGCGTCTTTCATCAAACACTTACTAATGTAACACTCTGTAAGAAGGCTTTTTTTATGCAGATGTTGGAGTTTGTAATATAACTGAGTCATCGATACCAGCACTAATACTGTATTACATGCACCCACAAGACAATGAGCTTTTTTTCTCTGCAGGGTTGTTACTAAATATGTTATGTGGTTTCTCTCCCTCTGTGTTTTTGTGTGTGTGTTTATGTGCGTATGGCCACATGGCTACATGTCTGTCTCTGCATGTATGTGTGTATGAATGCATCCACTCACAGCTCAAGCCAACGCCCAGATCGTGCACTCAGGCGCAGCGTGTAACGTCAAGGATGATAACATCAGTGAGAGAATCTACACCATCAAAGAAGGAGACACACTAGTGCTTCAATGTATCGTTAAAGGACACCCACGACCACAGGTAAGATCCCAAGTCCCATCCTGAGAAATGTGTGTGTGCCTGAGTATTTGTTATTGGACTGTTTGACATTTAAAGTATGTTGATGCTGATCCAGTGACTTTCACTGAGTGAGCAGGTTTGAAACTCTTTTTCAAGGAAGCTTGGACAACGTTGATATTTTCTTAGAACAATTCCTGTCAGTAACACAACAAGCGGCATTATATTGGATGGATACATTTGTAGGTGTTTTATCTATTCCAAATAATAAAGATAGTTTTTTAGGGATTTTATCCATTTATTTTATTCAGACTTTCATAGAATAATGTATTATCCATGACTTAAAGTTACATCAAATGCTTCGTGGAAGAAAGCATTTTTTTTTTTACTATTTTGGGAATAATACAAATATTGGGACATTATTTATTACCGCAATATCAGAGATGTAAGTTTATCAAATAAAATAAAGAACATCCATTCATCCTCCAACCAATCACAGTTAGGGACTCTTTCAGGCAACAATGCAATCAATGAGCCATAAACAACTCTGACATATGTCTTAACAAGCTGTCAATGTTGTTATAATGTGTGAACACCTCGTTAAATCTTGCAAACTTCACTTATTTTACATGCTTGGACTGTTTTCAAGCATCACGAGCATTAGTTACATTACATTACCTGCTAGATAAGAGCATATCAATCCAAGAATCTTTAATCGTGTTTATAGTGTCACTAGTGTTTGTGCTGAGTCACACCAGCTTGTCTTTTACTCACCTTACAGTACTAAAACCATGCTCTGCTTCAGTGTTTGCAGGTGGACATTTATATCAGTTGGCTCTTTCCTGAGTCAGTGATTCAGTATATTACTTTATATAAACAACAAGCGCTTTAGTGGCTCAGACTTGAGAGAATATGCTTGTGATTTAAAGTTCAAGAGTGTAATTCCCCAGAACAGCTGGTAGGATACATTTAACCACCGACTGTAAACGGTTAACATTTTCTTACAGTCTTTTAAATAACTGTGCAACTGCACTGATGGATGTTTTATATGTTGTCAAAAAATGTGATTTAAGACACTGGATATGTAAAACTGCACAATTTATGAAAAATCATAATATGAAATAAAAATGCTGTCCACTTCATTGCACTGCTGAATTTCCTTCTGTCCCTTAAGCTACACTGGAGAGAAGTGAAGAAGAACAAACACTATTATACAACAGCTCAGGCCAGGCTGCACATGCTGCTTTTGGAGGGCAGCCCATTAGTAAAAAGAGCATGGGCCTTATTCTTTCATAAAGACATACTCTTTATGCGTTTAAGCACACACACACACACACACACACACACCCACACACACACACACACTTACATGCACACACAAAGCGGTATACTTAGCCAATAGTGGACACATCTGTGTTCCAGGGTTAAACTCCAGCAAAACATTTTGGACCAGGGTCTCTGTGTGCGTGTGCGTGTGTGTGTGTGCGTGTATGTGTTTGTGTGTGTGAGTTTACAGAGCTAGATTTAAAATGAACTGAGTTGACTGGGGAGGGATTGTGGGTTTTGTGTGTATTTGTGTGGGAGTGTGTGAGGTGAGAAAAGCAGTGTTCCTCACGGGTGAATGTCCACTGGCATCACATCAACATGAATAAAACAGTGCCTGTGTCTGGGCCTTGTTTTTTCCTGTTTGTGCTTATGCTTGTGATGGCTGTGTGTTTGTGTGTGTGTGTGTGTTTTTTTTGTGTGTGTGTGACAGGCAGCTTGTGTGACTACAAATGTAAACTAATCATTTGTATGTAGCTGCAATATCTAATTACATCCCGAACTGTTGACCTAACCTGCCTACACTAACTGCGGCTGTCATTTCTCTCTAATTTCACCCATCCATCTTTCTCTCGCTGTCTCACAAACACACACACGCACGCACACACACCCACACACTCACACACACCAACACACACATACACACACAATCAAACAGATTCTACATTTACAGGCCCTGTGCCCTAAAACAAATACATACCAACTTTAAATAAAACTTTTATGTCCACTGGCGCCTGAATAATAATCATGATAAAAACGAAAAACACATACACAACTTGATTCCCCTGGAGCAGTTCAGGATGTAGCAAATGGCGTCAGTGATTGCTTGTTTCCTGGGTCGGAGGTGGTAGCGTATTTTGAATAATGATCACATTGGTCACATTGTCAGAATGTACAATGTATATATATTGTGTGCACAAGCAAGACATACACTGCCTCTGGCAAAGAGATATTGTTTGAGTGAGTGTGTGCGTCACTGAGTTTGTGTGTATGTACATGTGTTTGAGAGAAATTGCATAGAGACACATTACAAACAAAGGAAGAGACATAGAAAAAGGAAAAAAAGATTGCAGCAGTGAACACATTTCAGAAGCTTAATGCCTTCGGACAGGACAAGAGATGTGGAGGCATCAGGTCTACATTTGTCAACATTGAATGGCAACATATTTGAAAGTTGTACAATACCAGGAAATAATCAGTTTAATAATCAAATAAACAACAATAATCAATAAATGTTGCCATGAAAAGAAAACCATATAAGTCTGATGTAGTTTAAGAACCAATCATTTTGGATTCATGCTCTGCAAGTATTTTTTAACATTTTTAAACCTGAATGGTGAGCTTTTAAAACATCTGAATGTCTTTGTCATCATATTAAAATGGAAATACTCCTTGAGTTGGGATCATTGTGTCATGTTTTCATATTATCTTCAACTGTGTCACTGAAGAAACATCAGACAGTGCTGCCCTTGACTGATATAAGAGAAGCAACCAATACAATTTAAATGCAAATACCTATTGCTAAGGTGAAAACTTCCTCGTGATATTTTCTTATAATTCCCATCACACTTTCTTATTTTACACTTTGTATTGATCCACTAGGGCCTTATATTTAAATGAGAGATTGTTTTCATACATCCCAAATGTATCAAATATGAAACCTAATTTAAACGCCTTAGAAAATCACACCTGTTATTTAAAAATACAAACAGTAATTGACCCGTGGCAAAACATATGTAAACAAAGATACAAACAGCATGCTGCATGACCTTCTCTGCAATGCTTAAAGGCAGCACATATTTTCACAACGTGTCAATGCTTAAAGGAGAAGGCAGTCAAGTAGAAGGTGGCATATTTACACGTAAACACATGCAGGAATAGAGAGAGGGGGATAGAGATCAGATAATTACAACAGAATGAAACAGTGTAAGGGCTATACAAAAGAAATTAAATGATGACAGATTATGGGGGCATTGGAGTAATGCAGAAAGATACAGTGATAAGAGATAAGAGAAAAAAATGCTGATGCTTATTGTGATAAAGAGGGAAGAACAATTCAAAGTCAAGATAATCTGTGTGTTAATGTGTGCACGTGTGTGTTGTTCATCCTAACTGGCACAGTGTATGCATTCATGTATTGCAAGCAAGCATAACACATTTGCATCCTAGTGTTGCGTGAGAGAAAAAGCAGAGATTTGATTTGAAAAACAAAAGGTTAAACCTAGAAGCTTTTGCATGTGCCCAATGTGGGTTTGACGGTCCGACCTTTGTCACACCTATCTGTCTTTGATCCGTGTTGTCACCCTCAACTGGGTGGATTAATGCAAATAGACAGAATTGTCCAAATCTGCCCAAACTTCCAAACTGAAACCGCCCCCTATAACTAAAGACTGGAGATCAGAACCTGCTTTCCAGCCGGAGCAGAAGAAAACAGTGAGTGCTGACCTCTGTCCCAGTGTGTTCTGCTGGAGAAGCACACTGCAGCATTCTGCACTCGGTCCCATTGGGCTTACCGAGTTTCCACTGCGCTCCGATCGGCTGTATTGATAACCTGATCCCTGTCACCCCAGCTCTCCTTCATCCATCCTCACAGCTTTCCATACCTCATCTTCTTTACACACATTGACCGTTCTGTCATTGCACAAATATGTCGTTTCTGATGTAATATTCGTTATATTTGAGTAAAGCCATGGTGGGAAGAAACAAGACTTGGTTAAGTATTTCACAGCGCCAACACCAGTGAGGTGCTTTAAACACCCATGTTTTAATTTATTAAAACAATTATCTTTGCAGCATAGAGTGCAACATAACAAAACATAGCTGACCAAATGCTTTGGACAGAACGTGGTCATTTGATATGGAAGTGCATTCAATCAAGCACTTTTTTCTACGTGAAAGCTGTCATTCCAAAACACTAAAGCAGCCAAGGCAGTTTTCTATAAATATAATTACCAAAATCAGACTGCCTGCATCTTCAAATATCCAAATAAACAGTAGCCAAAAACATTTTCTAAAATAAAATATTTCACAATTAAACTGGCAACGATTTTGCATAGTTTTTATATTATTTTGGAACCACACTCCTCATGCTTTGGGGTATTTGTAGTTTTTCCTCATGAAAAATAACAGTCACCAAAGTCCTCTTTTTCTTCCATCCTCAGTGAGAAGTTTGTATTGGCCTCTAGGTGTATTCTGGCTGTTTTGTTATCATTTATGGATGTACTCTACTTTAGCGTGAATGTCCTCAAAATGCTCTTTGTATTCACCCTTTAGAAAAACAATACACTTACACATTTGTGCTGACAAGATTTGTAATACATTTATTGATAACACAGCCTCAGCAGAGCAGACCACACAGAGTATTTTAAGACATCATTTATTCATCAGATAAGCTGTTTCATAGCAGTTCAGAATCTTTTATCTGTGCTTGGGAACGAGCTGCTCGTGTCCCACATTTTGATGGCTCTATTCAAGATCATAGGAATATGATTTATGAGTTCTGATTGGCTCTGGGTTTTATTTTTACATTTGCAGTCTAGATTACTTTTATAATTTGTGTTATTCTGTAACACCATTTCCCCAAAACTTGAATGCCTTTTCTGATTGAGATGACGAAGACTTTCTCAATCTGTCTCTCTCCTCACCTCTCTCAGAAGGAGGAGGATCCAATTTAGCCATGTGAGGCCGGTCCAATAAATAGC